GATTCGGTCACGGACGGTTGACGACCAGATTGATGCTGAAAGACCACGGTGTTTTATCTTCTTGGAGGAAAGCACTACTAATCAATTCGAAAACAGTTTCACAAGGGACGGAAAATCGACGGAAGGTACACTGTTCTGGCCAATTAGTGACTGAGCGAGGGAAAGGAGAAATGTCGAACGAGATAAGGAAACAAGCAACCGGATTTGGCCAAATTTCATATTATAACCCCTATAAATTCGCTACGTGTGTAACAATTGTCATCACAGTTTGTTCTAGATTCCGAGATATCCCCAAAGGGTGGGGGAAGGGGCTTGAGATGTGGGGGTGGGTAAACAAGCCACAAGCACATCTAGTTTGCAAGCTCTCATACTGGCCAAGCAAAATGAAGCAGGTCATCACTGTTTGATAAATGTTCCCACACTTTACATCTTTGTTCGAGAAATTTCCACGGTCGGCACACTTGGCCTTGATCAATCAAGTTCACGTGATCCCAGTCCGGTTCGCTTTGTTTCCATTGGCGAATTCGGCCACTGCGTGCAAACTCGTGCATTGCCTTATTTAACACGTGACTCATTTGCACTAACTCCTCCATCTCATCCACACCGGATGCGATCAGGCCGGAATTACGATAGTCGGGGTGAGTCAAATAGCCCCGCAGATAGAGCATTCCATCCCATCCATGGAAAGCCAGTGATACAAACGAGGATAACGCGTACGGATCAAATCGTCGATGAGTACTAATCAAATAGTATCGATAGATTGGTTGACCTTGTCCTAACCATAGTCGAACTACTTGGGTTAAAGGGCATGTGTAACGTGCATCGGTAATCAATGCAGTTAGATGAGCTTCCACGTCGAACGCTTGTTTTGGCTGGCTCCGATTAGAGCACGTCGGATCGGTCAGCGCAAAGCGNGTTTTTGATGAATCTCCCTGAGCCAGACGACCCAGTAAATACTGTTGGTAGAATGTTTCATCCCAGAATGGGACGGTGACTGGAGCCAAGTAGAGCGCGGCCTCATGCCCAGTCTGTCCAATCACAGTGGGCACTGCGTAAGTCGGATTGTACCAACGTCTGGTGTCGACCAGATTGCCGTCATCCACAAGGATCCGATCGAACCCAGGGCTGGCCTCATCGACCGTTTTCGCGTTACTACTGGTCAGATCAGGAAGACTGAATAGTCCCTTCTTGAGCCATGATTCGACATTTGTCCACTTCCATAGACGCACCACACTAGGTGCATCGTTCAAATAGCCCGCGTCACAACTGGCACCTGAACTTGAACTACATTGAAACAACTTCTCAGAATGTGTAATGGCTTCTTTGAGGGTGAGTTTGGGAAGTCCTAATGCCGGGGCAGTTACCCACAATCGATCGAATAAACTATGACCGAGTAAACTTTGTGAAAGTGCCAGTGCACAGGTAGCTCCAGAACCGTAACCAAACAGCGTAACACGAGTGGGATCCCCGCCGAAAGCGCCGACATTATTACGTATCCAGCGTAACAGAGCCAGTTGATCATACAAACCTAGATTGGGTTGTTTTACACGGGGATGAGTCAAAAATCCAAGTGGACCAATTCTGTAATTAAAAGTCACATGAATTGCATCCACACTTCGAATTGTTTGCGCGTGCGGTTGTTGCCCGGCCGCGACTGACAATCCTGAAGCTGAACCACCGTAGAGAAAAAATAAACCGCTCAGTTGTACAATCACTGGTCTGGCCGTATCCGAAGTAGAGGACTGACCGGAACTGGGGACAAATACATTCACATATAAACAATCTTCTTCTCCAACCAGCTTATCTGTGAGCGGTTCAAGTTGCATGCATGGAGGTTTATAATGTGTCACGGGATGAACGGGTTCAGAGCCATTTTCACTCCAGGCTTGTTTGCACAATTCTCTTGTGGTCAACTCGACTGGTCGTTTGAATCGATACTGTCCGATTGGGGGGAGAGCGTACGGGATGCCCAGAAAAGAGACAATTCCATCCGAGTCCAGAAAACCCTGGACTGTACCACAAAATGTGTTCACAATTGTTTGAGCTTGATAGTTACGGGCTTGAATGTTGGGTTGTATAAGAAAATAGAGAATCACCGCAACGGCGATCATCAATGCGGCGAGAAGAATGATATTAAGCCAACACGCGCTTGAAAGACGGCGTCGACATTCACTAACACGAAGATTAGAGACGGACGGAGATCGACCAAGTACCGTTTCTTCCCAAGAGAGTTGATCAGCTTCTGCCTCAGCAGAGGTAGTTGGTTGCTGTGATTGGATCATGACATCACAGCCGTGCCACCCATACACATTCTGCGGCGGAACTGGAAGCGCGGGTGGCAAACGAAAATTGTAGCGTTTGGTGAATGAACACTGGTGCAGACGAGTTCGCTTCCACGCTCGGGCGCAGGCACACACTAGCGTATACACGGATGAGAGTTAATTTATAAGGCACAACTTTATTCCCGTAAATGCGGGTAAACCTTACTCATGCGCACAGACCAATCAACGTGTCGAGAAAAAGACCTATCACGTGTGTATTCAAATCCGTTTGATAACTAGAATGGACCAATCAGAATCATGCATTGAACAAGACCGGATGAGAGCGGTAAGGTGAACGCATGATATTCAGGTTACCATCACATCAGCTCAAACAAGAAGATATTCATGAGGAAAAATGAGGCATTGTTAAACTGTGTTTGTTGCTAGATGAAACTATAAAGCTTAGAGGTTATTGCCAGAGGGTAATAAACGATATATAGAACACTTAAATGAAGGAAAGCGACATTTGGATGGATCACCATGTAAAGGATGAGTGCAATCAGAGAGGATTTTTTGTGCAAATGTTACATATGCGGACCAGTGAGTTTCACACAGTTATTCTGATAGATCATCAACGGGTATAAAAGACACACGACTGATAATCGACAAACTGCGACGAAGGATTTTGAAGTCTTTCTTGAGTAGCCCAGCAAATCAACTCGGAGAAAAATAGAGAAGAAAAGGAAAAACATATCAACAAAAAGCGAAATGATTGATTCATATTTATATTACGATCAACACTAATTAGTAATCTTTTGTATTTGTATCCGTATTGAGACTTCTGTTAAAAAGAAACGATATTTAATTTTTAATTGGAAACAGGTCATCAATGAGAAACATCTGTTATTGGGTTAGGGGGAGGGTTCAGAGATGAACCAAACAATAGGAAAGAGCTCTTTCCCTTTTCTCGTTTTGTATTCGCAAACTCCACATTGTTGACCGAAATACGCGCTACAAATGATCCTGAGAAGGCATAGGAACTATTTACAGACGAGCGAATAAGTTCAAATTGGTATCAGGTCGATGAATGTACGCAGATTAGCCATGAAACAATGCTTGGACGGTGTCAGAGAAAGAACTCACGACAACCAGACTGCCTCTTGGTGTTTAAAGGTTTTCCTTAGATAAACAAAAGACTATAATTGTGCATAATGTAGCGTATTGACTAGGGTATAGTTATGTGCATATTAATGTATCAGAGTCACCATCTCGACCAGTTCGCCATGTAGCTGACTCAATTTGTGAATTGGAAGAAAACGTCAATGGAATTTTCACCGCTACTTTGATTGAATACAATGTAAATCGGCAGTTATTGTAAAGTCGAAAGTGGACTTGATAGCGGAATCACACAAGACGTGGGACGTCAATGCACTATTCAATATCACGAGATGTTCTGGGTGATTAGTAGTATATGACTTTCGGATATATATCTCGGAGAAAGCCAAAGATTTCTGAATCGAATGGTAATAGACACAACTCGTATGAATTTTTTTATCGAAAAATTCAGGAGCTAAGCTTCTATCGTTTTGTGGGTCAGATTCGGTGTTGATTTTAAAAATATCTCATGCAATAATAAAATCCCCGAAAAAGATGCACTAGTTTTGTGATTGGGGAGACACTGTCAATAGCTGGTGTTGAATGCTGCGATTGACGATAAACGTAGAGTTTAACCAATGACTCGGGCACAACACATGAAGTCCAAGAGATTATGCAACTGGATTGCTGAAATACCTATCGAAGTGTCGGTGAACCAACAATTGTCTATTATGGTTCTTGTTGTCACTTCTTATCAGGACTGAATGCTTGAAAATGTCTGTGCGTATATGTGTGTGTGTTGACCGTCGTGTTTCGTGTATTTTCCGCTTTTTCCGAAACAGATTCACTTCCGAGTCACCCTACACATTGCCATTTGTTTCGTGCGCCATATGTCTCTGTACGATGATGATTTTGTGAATGTTAGGGCGAAACATCGTGATTCATTTGATTTATTTAAACTTAAATGTCAATTTTTATGAGGATTGATTTTCTGATCGGTCTGAAGTAATTAAAATTTCATCTATATTCAGCTGTCATTGCCTAACTTAGAGAAACCGTGTGGCGCTGCTTGATGCTGATAGTGAATGAAAAAAAAATTTCTTATGGTGATCGGTGTCCAACAACAAATCAGGCATATCTTGACATTGTTATAGCAACATAATCTCCCGCCACATCTTTTGAATTAAATGCACGACTATTTTACCGACCGACGCCAATTCAGGTGTCTCAATGGCATTAGATCTTCCACTGCCACCGTAAACCAAGGTCTAATGCAGGGAGCAACTTTATCCCCTTTACTGTTCTTTTGTATCCAAAACATGCCAGTCACCCCAACTGTTTTCACATTTAAATATGCCGATGACATAGTAGTTGGTGGTGTATCTAACAACAGCAATAACATCTAATCGCCTTCCTTCAATCAGCCATAAGTACCATTTCCGAATGATCCAATGGCGTTATTCTTTCTTCAAACCCAAACAAACGCATTGAAGTTTGTTTTCCATTAACCGTAGGCCATCAACACTTTATGGATCATCTGTTCCCAACATCCTAATCGATAACTTTGAAATTGAAAGTTCACAACACTTCAAATATCTTGGGGATGTTTTCTGTCTACTGACCTCAAATGGTTCTATCACGTAAAACAAACATTTGTTAAAGTTAGAAAGCTGATCTTTTCAATTTCAAGCCTTCAACATATAAGGATTCCATTGTACATTATTTCTAAATTTATTTCATCATGCGTTTGATGGACCTACTGCTCTCCCGTTATCT